AAACACGTTTGACATCACTCTCTTGTTTCTTCTTCTCACCAACATTTGCGGACTTTCCCCTCCTCTCTCGGGGTGGCATTCCAAGCCATCTCCGAGTGACAACTCCCTTGAGGCAAACCTTGCTCGGGTAAAGTTCTTCCGCAATGAGTTGTATGGTCACGTGTCTACTACTGCTATTGACACGCCCACTTTCTCTGGTTTATGGCAGGATATTAGTACTGTCCTTGTTGCCCTTGGCTTGGATAAGGTAGCCATAGAGAGATTAAAACTAGAGCACTCTGGAGAGGAAGACCATGTTGAAATTTTAAGAGAATGGGCGAAAAGTGAAGAGGATACCAAGTCGCAGCTGATGGATATCTCACAATCTCAGACTGAAATAGCGCAAAGTATCGAAGAATTGCGTCAGGCTCGTCTTGAGGACTCCAAGGAGCTGGAAGAAATGAAAAATACAGTTATCAAAACTTGGCAGGCCGTCGAGAGCGTAGAGGATCGTAGAGGAAGGGACAAAGAGGATGAAATTCTCAAAGCACTCGCAAAGATTGACACAGGAAAAGATGTCGAATATCATTCAGAACGATATGAGGAAGGAACTCGTTTGTCTATTTTGACAAAGGTGCAGGATTGGATGGATGACAGAAGTTCTGAGAATCGTGTTTTGGTAATCAGCGGACAGGCTGGTATGGGAAAATCTGTGATCTCTGCAGTTGTCTGCAAAAGAATGCTAAGAGCTAACAGACTATCTGGAAGCCATTTTTGTCAACATGGCAAGGCACGCCGCAGGAATCCCAGAGTGATGCTTCAGTCTTTGGCTTGTCAGCTGTCTGACATTATTCCAGAATACAAGAGTGCCATTCTGGAAGTACTCTCAAGAAATTTAGGAGGAGATCTAAACAACATGGAAGTTAGTGATCTCTTCGAATTGCTGCTCATGGAACCTCTTTCTAAAGTCAAAGACCCAGGATGGAACATCCTAATGGTAATAGATGGCTTGGACGAGAGTGAATACCAAGGCCGCAACGAATTGCTTGATGTGATTGCTAGTAACTTTTGCAAACTCCCAGCGTGGTTTCGATTTCTTGTGACAACCCGTCCTGAAATCAACATCGCCGATAGTCTTAGAGTTTTGGAGCCTCTGCAGCTTGAACCAAGTGATAATGAGAACTTACAAGACATCCGTCACTATCTTAACAGGCGTCTAAGCCAATCTGGGCAGTTCGAAATCCAAGAGGATGTTTTGAATTATCTTGTGGAAAAGTCAGAAGGAGTGATGTTATTTTCTTACTTTTTAGTTGAATTTGTAGGCAAAATCGAGGCCGTTCTTACCCCAGAGCTGCTGGAGAACGATTTGCCATCTGGTATTTCATCCGTTTACGAGTCCTATTTCAAACGTTTAGAGCAAGAACTTGTAAAGGAACTGAAGATTAAGGAAGAGCATTTTTTTGCTTTCCTAAGTGCAGTTACAGCTTCGAGAGAGCCATTACCAGTTGCTTTTGTCGCAAAATTGTTCCAGTTGGACACCAGGACATCAGTTGGCAAACGGAAAGTTAAAAGGGCAATTTCTTGCATTTCAACTCTTCTGCTGGTTGAGGATGAAAGGGTCAAGTTCTTCCACAAATCAGTCAAGGACTGGTTGACCGTTACTTCCTCGTATGGACAGCACGACTTTGCATTAGATTTGAATGAAGGTCATAGTATCCTTTCTAAACTTTGCCGTGAGGAACTCGATCAAATTAAGGATCGTGGTGTTATTGATCGAAAATTTTGCGACTCTGAAACATATTCCCTACAACACGGTGTCACACACATGCTTGAGGATGCAAGGTCACCGAATAGTAAAGAATTGGTGAGGTTGTTTGTCTTGGATTTGGAACTCGTTTACGCTAAACTCTGTGTGGATCACGCAACGGCAGCCGACGACATTGTACGTTGTCAGAAACAGGACATTTTGTCAGTGCTCCCTGAAGAAAGTAAAACTCACTTGGATGACTTATTGCTTTTGTTGAGAAAGTACCACGAAAGTTTTAAATATTTTCCTCATGCATTTCTGCAAACCGTGTTGAATGAGGGAGAAGCGAGACTTTCTTCCCAGGCATCAAGTCTTCTGAGTAAGAAATTTCCCGATATTACTTTCATGGAGTTCATTTACAAGGATGTTCATGAGGAGGCTCCCAAAGCTGTTTTTCAATGTTCAGCTGCAGTGGTCTGTTTTGATGTGTCGCCGCAGTCTGACTACATGGTGTGTGAATGTAAAGATGAGATGCTTTACTTGTGGTCGCTTCGCACCGGCAAATTAGAATGGAGACGTCCCTGCAAAATAAAGAAACAATATTCACATGGCAATTTCACGTATCGAACGTCGCCTTCCTCTGATGTCTTCTCGTGCTACCGTTCGGTTGTTTTTCATCCTTCTTAGGAAGTTGTCCTACCAGGAATTCTTAGTTCAGCCTATTCGATTGATGGAGATCTGAAACCACTTTTTCCAAGAAGTAACTGCATATTCACAGTTTCTTCACTGTTGAATGCAAACGGCGAGGTCCGGTTTGTAACAAATTTTCCGGATGACACCAAGTGTATTATTTTGTGGAGTCTTGAAAATGGTTCTCAGGTTGCTAGTATTCACAGGGATGAAGATGTTTTATCGTTTGCTTGTTCTCTTGATGGGAGGATGCTGGCAGTTTCCCATACGTCCGGCTCGATTTGTTTGATTGACACAATAAACGAGTTTAGAATACTGGCAGAAATAAACATTCCAAGCGTTTGTGGGATAATCAAGTTCTCCCCTGACCATCAGTTCCTCTTTTGTTGGCACGAAAGTCATGCACGACGTCATGACGTTTATCGGCTGAGCGTCAAACGTATCAACCAAGACACATTTTCGCTTGGTGTTTCTTGTGACGTTTCATATAAACCCTGGGAGTATGAAACTGCCAGTAAAGCTGGATTTTTGTTAGGAGATCCTCTTTGTTGTATCTATGAGAACGTCTTTGGTCGCTCATTTCTTGTAGAACGAGCATTTGTCTTTGTCCTTTCTGAGGAAATTGTCTTGAGGCGCTTTCCTGAAGGTCGTTCAGTGGCAATGTTCAGTGTGGATGAGATAAGTAGCTTCACCAATTCAGCACATCACCCACACTTATCTAGAGCCATAAAGATGGCGTTTTCGCTAAATGGAGAGATTCTCTATGTGATTTCCGAAGTTCCAGCTGGAAGAGAAGTAATGGCTTGGAACGTTCGATGGGAAAACCTCACAGCAAGAATGATGATTGGAAGGACAAGAAGGGAGTGCCTTACGCCTGTAGCGGAAGGCGTAATTATCGCCAAAGACTGTGGTTGTCCCGAACTGTGGGATTTTGAGTTGTCTAGATGTATCCGTTCTTGGTCACGGGTGTGCAACATTACCGATGTGATTCCCCTGTCAAGAGATCACGTGGCATGTGTAGGGGCTTATGATAAAGAGGTGATTATCCTGGATTCGAGAAGCACAGGCGTAAAGGCACGCATCCCATTTTTTCGTGACCAATATGAATCAACCATTGAAACGTTGGGGAGAGAGGCCATCGCATGTAACAGCAAATACGAAGTACTGTCCACAGACCGAAAATCCATTCAGCTGTCGAATAGTGAAGGTATTATCTGGGAAAAGGAATGGAACGATTCTCTGTTGTGTGGCTACAGTCTCTCAGGAATGTTCTCGCCAAAAGAGGAATTTGTATTATTCTCGGCGAAACGCAATGATTGTGATGATCAGGAGGTATTTGTTCTCGAAGCCTCTTCCGGGAAAGAACATTCCATTGTCTGTAGAGGTGCTTCGTTTTTTGACTGTAAGTTCGTCAGTGATGAGGAATGTGTCATTGATTTCGAAGATACCTTACCGCATTTCGGTCTTCGTCTATTCAATATCAGGAGCGGTGACCTACTCTGTGTGATGGAGAGGGTGTTCAGAACGCATTGTCTCGCAACCTGTCTGCTGAACCATGCGATCGCAATTGACGTAAGCGTAGGCTCTGAGAAAAATTTCAGAATTATCCTGGTAAACAACCTTCCAAGTGAAGAAGATAAGAAGAACAAAATGTAAGTTTGATGTTGAAGATAATTAATTACTTTTCCTGCTTATAAAAGTTGGGTGGTTACTTGCATTCGTCGATCTTTCATACCTTCTCCTAAAAGCCTGCATGGTAAACGAAACACTTAGAAAAGGAAACGCTTAGTACTTTGTTTCTCGACAACTCCGAAAGGATGGAGCCTGCTGTCGCATATGTACGTGCAACTGTCGTGGCTGGGTGATCCTTAGAGTTACAAATAGAAGAAGAGTTAGTTTTCCTTATCACTTTCAAGTAAACCCAAATCGTTATTAGTGTGAAACCAAAACCGCCCACTACTGAAGACCAAAAGAGGAAGCGTATCTTAATATGATATTTGTTTCCTGAAAAATATGTAAACATTTAATTGCAAACTGTGTTTATTCTCTTCACCGAACTAGTGGTGGTTCTGAATCAAGGACAATGATACTTAGACTCAAAACTGGGAATAGTTTTCCTTCAGAAATCCAATCATAATTTACTTAGTAAGGAAGGCTTATTGTATCAAATTCCTTTTTAATGAAAGCATTTTGATGTGTGGGCAGTGAGAGTAACGTAAGCGAAATTAAATTTATTTATCTGCTGCAACTGATATCTTTAAATTTGTTGCAGGGTACCAAAGAAGCAGCTGTATGAATAAGAGGTCAGTAGTAAGAGAGGGGGCTAAAAAAAGAGCTCTTGTCTGCGTCAGATTTTCGAAATTTCTCACTATGATAAAACATTCTGGATAAGAAACAGAACTTAGCGAGCGGGTGCTTGCTATAAATGATGTTGGCTGGACTTTGAAGACAATGTTAAGAGCGTTGGTGTGTTCGCTCTTTGAATCATTTCTATCATGCATTATCTTATGCCCTCAAGTCTGTTTTTTTTCTTTACAAGCTTTGAATTTACCAAATGTATGGCGAGGGTACTCCAAGCCCCTTCTTTTTAGGTTTCATTATTGTAAGATGACCTAGTTTACTCACTCATTGTTATTTTTGGCATATTTTTGTTCTTCAGTGAAGTGATGGATGAATTGCAGACTCTGTCGTGGGAGCCCTCCGGGCAGTCGGTACTGCTTGGTCAGCGTTAAAAACGAGAGACGAGCGCACAGTAAATCAGGAGCCATACGGAGAGAAATGTCTTCCTCTTGCTTTCACGGACACACACCATACCAGATAATTTACGAACAGCCCTACCAGGCGCTGGAGGGGCAAATGGACTAGTCAGTCCTATTCTTTAGTTTTGTTATGTCTATAATTGTTGTTTCTACCTATATTTCAAGGGGTGTCCGCTTTTTTTTATCTGGAAGCTTTTTCAACATCGCTGTCACAGTGAAATTAGTATAGGTGATAACATGATTTCGACTGCGATTTGGTCCAAATAAGCACGAGTAAATTTTTCAAAGACAACAAAATTGCATGAGCCCGTAGTCTTTGAATAATTTACAAATGCTTACTACACCAAATTGCAAGAGAAATCATGTTATTACTTGCTAATAATGTAGGTGACAAAACATCACAGAAAGTCAGGACAGAAAAAATTCTGAAAGCGTTTGCGCGCTATATGTAATTTACACTCGTGTTATAACTTTGCACTCGTGTTACATGAGAATGCACTCATTTTCAGCCAATCAGAAGCCCGTAATATTTTTGTGTACATCATTAAGTATTGTTATCGATTATTAGTCACTCAAGAAAGAAGTTTAGTGTAACTAGTCAATGACTAGTTTTTCTCGCTGTAAAACTAAATTACAGTTTTGAGACTAAATTCGAGATTTTTCCGATTAGAGTTTAAAGAAGACGGCGCAACCGTTCAGAACAGATTGTTATAATTATTTGAAGACAACCCCCAGATTAAGAAACTAAAGCTTACTTTTTAAAGTTCGTGATTTGTAATCGCGTATTTTTTTTTTTATACATTTGCGTCGTTTAAATCCTTTTTTTTTATATGTAAAACTGTGAAAACGTATGTCGGTATGAATTGTCCATGAGTTTAAGAATACATATCTTTAGTGAGTCTTTAATCTATAGTTATTTGTAATTTAAAGCCATCATCAGATTTTTTAATTTGGCGAGTTCTTATTCATATGATTGTGATTTGTGCGCGAAGTAACCAGGTATCACAGGGTGCTACTGCTGTACACAAGTTTGGGAACCTCTTGCCTTTATTTGGATTTACGGTATCCTACAAACCATAGAACCGACTGGTTTGACTGATGTATCAGTAGAGACTCTATTTTAGAGGAGTAGCTTTTCACGGTGACCGAAACAGATGCTAGTTAAACATTGTAGTTGTCATTAGGATGTGTCATTAGGATGCTCTAAGGATTGTTACAGAATTATTTGCTTTGTTTGAGGTTTTATTCTAACCTTTGAATCTTGTACTCTGGGTCAATGATTTTGCAATTTACCGTACCACATACGTTCATCTTAGGTCCCCTTTTTCAATGGAGGTCGAAAATTCTATAACTTGTACGAATCGAAGTAAAAGTGTAATTGCTTCGTTAGATGTTTTAGGTTCTTAGCAAGAATTAAGTAAATTGCTCCTGCCATCATTTCATTGCATAAATGTTTGTTAACCGTGCCAGACTTGAACTTTAGTTTGTTTCCGAATTATTTTGGGGGTTTCATCAGTTGCTAATTGGTGATGGTCATATTAGGTTTTGTCGGATGAAAACGAGCTCTGCGTAAAATTTTGGGTTCCCATTACGCTTTTGAAGTAAGCTGGTTCAACATTATTGCCTCACTAGAGGGCTATAGAGAAGACTGAATTTTTTACCTTTTATATCATATGTTTTATGCACTGATCGAACTGGACACTTCCCCGGTAAACGTGGTAACTTGACCTAACAAAATACCTTAGCGTGGTCTGCTCATATCTAATGTTGACGTATGTGTTAGATTGTGATTAAGGCTTTCGTTACGCTGGAAAAACTGAGAATTTAAACAATCTGCAGTATGTCTTTCTTTCATTATTACCTTAAAGTAACTAGGCAATAAAACTTTATCCCAGCGGCTTGTGACAAAATACCCAAATCCAGTGACATTTATACGCTAGTCCCTATATTGATTCTACCGAGCTACAGAACGCCCCGGTGTATGGGCATGTTACCGACAATGATTTTGCGTAAGATATCTGCAGTTTGTCCCTCTATCGCAAAAGGCTTCCCCCCCCCCTCCCAAAAAGAAAAAAATGGTCTTGCAGCCGCCCCCCCCCCCCAACAAAAAAAAACTATATATACCCGTATCAGCCTCTACAAAACACACTAATCCCGCGAGTCAAAGGGGAAGGGGAAACATAAGTTGAATTTATGCATTCCTACATTCATACTATGATGTGTTTCCAGCGCTTCCTGGTCTTCCTTGAACGGTGAATATTAATCTCTATTAATATGAATCTAGACATCGATAACTGAGAGGCCTGGACTGGGTACAGGTAGGGTGCAAGTTTGTACTCTCCCTTTTCTGTAAGACTGAGCAATTTGTTCAGCATATAAGTCATAAGACTTGGGTAGAGCCAATGGCTATTCGCCACGCTAACGCGTTTTAATTGCGAAATTACTTTAGTATTACTTCTTAGGTATATGTGCACGTGTTATTGGTAATCTTGCAAGCAAACAAGCAACAAGTTTATTTCCAGCATTAAAAAAGTTTTAGTATTCCCCCCACCAACACCATCGACAGTTTTGATTGTAACTTGATCTCATTCGCTTTTGTAATTGATTCTTGATTACTGAACCGTTGGTTTAGTTTATTCGTCCAATATCTTTGTCATGTAATAGTCTAGTGTGTTATTTGCGTAGGATATAATTATACATTTAATAAACTGTCTGGTCCCAAAATAAGCCTCTGTCTTTTGTGGTGTTTAGACTTCCGAAAACGAAAAAAAAAAACTTTCAGTGGTTTCAGCAATAACACCCGATCAAAGCATTCCCTTTTTGCAACTAATTGATATGTGATTTGCTCTGTGCGTGCAGTAATCCACAGTCCACTGCTCTAGTTAAATTTACTCGCTGGGGCTTCTGGGACACGCTTATTTGGGCAGATTTGTGACTTTTATTCTAATGTAAACAGTGCAGAGTTGTATTTACACGCGAAAACTGTTACATCGTTGCCATACTGGAGAGAAGAAAAACTGGCGAGGAAACGTTATTTTGCGGAAAGGTATGTACCTGTTCTTTGGTTCCGAAGCTATTTTTCGGAGTGTTAGTCGCTCAAGGGGTCTTTCAACTGCGGTAAACTTATCTGCGGTTTTTACGTTCCATAGATTTTGTGCCTTACTTGTAAATTTGTGAACACCTTCGCCGACGCTTTTGAAGTGCTTCACAGCTAATACTTTCTCTAGGCTCCCTTTTATGCTTTTCTTGTTTCTAAGCGTCGTATCTACCAGTGCAGGCGACGGAAGGCGGAAAATCATTACAGATGCCATGCATTTTTGGCGAAAATAATGCCCTCGTGGTGGCAAGATGATCAACTAACTTATTAATCATTGCAAAAATCTTAATGCAGTAAATATTCATCGACCGTTGTAACGGTTAATATGGATTATCTTTTTAATTAGAAGCCAAAGCAGTCTGTGATCATGCGAGCACAATGCATAGAAGGAGTTCATACTAAATTTTGTGTTGAAATTGCTAATTGCGCGTCAAGTTAAGAAATTCCGCATGCCAGAATACTTATTGACGCAATGCGAAATCAAACCCTGATGTTATCGTTGTTATGGACAAATGGTCACATTTTCCGTTGAATTAAAAAAAGAGGGAATCACTCCTTAGATAAATGTAATATTTCCCTTTGATTTCTGTAAATAGTAGTCTACTTCGCGACTGTTGTTTGGTCTCGTCACGCAACGCGCTTTCTCCCCACCAGTTAGGAACGGTAGGGAAGTTCGTAGCGTGACGAGATCAAACAACGGCTGCGAAGGATATCATGTAAATAATAAATGGAAAAAATTACTGAAAGGTTATTTTTAATATATCTGTGCACTCCATTTTTGGTCTTTAAATGAGCGAATGGAAGAAAAAGAGGAGTTTTGATCAGTGTGTAACAAACGCTTTGTTAAGTTGTAGATTTCTTAGAAGTTGAGCTCTGAAGTTAAGTTTCTTATTAGGATGTATTACATCTTTCCTTTTCAAAACTTTTGAGCTAATGATCAGTTACAGTGTATACTACACTCCTCATTACTCATAAAACTGTACTACAGTCCGTGAAATGGTAAAAGACTTGTCTGAATCCATTCCAATGCTTAGCAGGCTAAGAGAGGGGTGTTATTAACAGTTTTTTGGACTGGAGTTATTTAAACCACAACAGCATAAATTCATTTAAAAAGAGAATGTATGCAACTATGATCACTGTTTGTAATTATACTCAAATTAGTCATCCCCTAGGGCCAGGGCCAGAAGATTGATCCAATTTGGGAAGGGAAACCCTACAGTTGTCTTATTTGCAAGATTTAAGTGGCCTCACCTTGAAATCCTTAATCTTTAAGATGGACCAGCATCTAATTTTTCCTTACAATATCCATGCTAGATCAAAAATTCATTCAACCAAAAAAAGCTCTTGATTGATTTACAAATTCTCCTTGTCATTCTCATAGGAAATGTTTAACAAAGAGTGTGGAGAATATGCATTAAGAAGTTCTGGAATTAATCATTGAAGTCATGAGAATAGAGGTAATAATCATCAACTAAAAAAGCGATTGATTGTTAGACAAATTTTCCTTGTCATTTCCATAGGAAAAGAATGAAAAAAAGTGGGGAGAATATTCATAAAGATGTTCTGGGATAGAGGGTCAAGGGAAAATTCTATCAACAATCCTCTTTGGGGGAAGGGACACCTGCATATATTTCCCCCCCCTCCTGTATGCTTTTTTTTAAGTAAACAACTTACAATATTCAGGTTGCGAAAACAGGTAAATACCCTCTCTTTGATAGAGTGTGACCCCCTCTTTGGAAAATCTCAGTTACGCCCCAGAATATTGGACTATGTTCCTGTTTGATAAAGTTTTACAAGCTCCGGTAGTAAAGGCAAAGGAGTCATTTGGCTTGATACTTACATTATTGTGCAACCTTTCAAAGCTGCAGCAAGATTACACCTTCATTCAGATTGTTGCATAGAGAACTCAAGAGAGGGCCTGGGAGTCAAAAGTTGTAACTTATGTCTGTTTAGCCTTTAACCCCATGAGTGACCAAGACAGAATTTCTCCCTACAGAACCAATATAATATCAACCAGATAAGTGATGAGAATAAAGAAAAATATCATTTTGGGGATGATAAGTTGATCCAATACTAAATTCTCTGCCTAACATCATACGAATTGTACGGTTGACAGTAAGGAGAATTACAAATTTTATCTGGGAGTTAAAGGGTTAAGAATCAGTTTCAAAGTTTTTCCATGGATGTAGCCATATTGATGGTGAT